TATCAATGTGTGGGGGTGATTTCACACTGTAGAAACAAGTGGAGCTCCGCAACTAAGATGGACAATCCAAGAAGCGAAGGCTGCACAGGGGACAAATGGTGAGGGTTGCCCAACTGAGGTTTTGTTGGAAAAACCCTACAATGGTAAAGTCAGTGAATCGGAGAGAGGGTAGAGGGAAGGAATGTAAGGAGACAATATGCAGTGCCAAGAGAATGTAGAATGTCCTCCAAAGGAAGATTGAGGTTGCCTTATATAGATGATGTAGACTTGCTCTCCAAATCCTCTGCCTCTTTGTCCCCCTTGTTTTATCCTTGGTCGCTTCTTTGTGGAGGAGGACAACGAATCTGTCTAATACTCAAGTGCATAGACTTGTCGTGTGTGCATCGTGTACCCCTGTACCTCCCCATCCCCACAATCTGTATAGATAGTGGTGTAGGAATGGGGCAGTGTGTCCCTTACTTATGGTCTTATAGACCTGGGTCAAATGTGTCTCCTTTGTCCAGTCGGCCTCGAGGCATCGATTGGCCTTGGACCGACCATGTGCTCGGCCTTGGACCGACCATAATGATGAAGTCAGGCAAAGGGGACAAATCACATTGCAGCATGGCTGCGAAAGCCTTAATTCAATTTAAATGGTTATATGAAGCTGATTATGAGCACAAGGGAAGGGTAGTACTGCCTAAAAGGAAGGGGAGAGATGAATGATACTAAGGAGGAAGAGGCACCTAGAAGAATCAAATGAAAAATAGAGTCCCGGAACATTTTAAAAGAAACTAGGCGAAGAAACAAGGAAGTTATGTCTAACTCCGGCTCATACCAAAAAGGGCCCAAGCTTGTGAAACAAAGGACTAGACAAATGAACCTGAATTCTATTGCTGAACTTGTATGTAAAAAAGGAGAAAAGGAGGTTCAACAAATGCTTAACTCTGGTAAAGAAGGAGACCTTGGACCGACTGTATGCTCGGTCCATGTAACGCCCCGAAATAATAATATAGCCCATTTCAAAACATTCCTTACAATTGATCAATAACATCATATTTAATTTTCCATTCATAATCTTTGATCATACAAAAGATGACATATGCGTGTATACATTCATAAATTCTAGATCTTGAATGTATAGCATATGACGTGTACATGAATTGAAATAAAAGGAGAATTAAGTAATTTTATGCCCTGATGGCTACATCTTTCCAAGTCAATGCTTGGATACAACAAAATGAGTTTAATTCAATACAATTAAAGCCCAAGGCTTGCAAAAATAATTACATCGAATTAACAAAATGAAGCCCTTGGCTCCAAGTCCTCCCAAGTTAAGTTATGTCCTTGGTGGAGGCATATTATTAGCAGCTGAAAGTTATTTTTCACATATGGTGAATTAAAGCCTAGTAGAGATACTTTAGCACAATATATGAATCTTAACGAAATCATAAGGTGGATGCATATGCTTGACAATTGTCAAACGTTTTATATTTCCATTTCAAAACAATACAATGTCAGATTATATATCAATTCATGAAAATAATCTTTTATATCAGAAAACAGGGTAGTGAATACGAAACACTGGAAACCTCTAGGTACGTGTTTGCTAGTAGGCTGTACAAGCACTACAAAAGCCATTTTAATGATATTAACTGGAAGGATCGGCACCTAACCACGTGGGTTTCTGGACTTTCACCAAGGACACACAGGCCAACATAATAACCGCAACCACACCTCCTAATCAGATTCACTAAAGTATTCACCCATTTTTCTCAAAACAATACATTTTCAATGTTTAAGTATAAAACAATGCCCAATGCAACATGTATGAGTAATTAGTTTCAATTCACCTAATTTTCATGCAATTTTTACAATATTCAAAGCTATCCTCCATCAATAGCCCAAAACAGATATTTCTATTCAACAGATAATTTCCAACAAAAGATATAATCTCATCATTTTCAAAATGGAAGTGATATTACATATCCAACTCCACCATCATCGTCAACATGCACATTGGTTCCATTCTTTCAAAACCCAATTTCATGTCCCTTTTCTTCCACAAACTAAATATCCATGATTTTAGAACAAAAACCCCTTTACTTTCAAAAATCAAGTTTAAGTAAAGAAATCCACCATTTTAACATATCTCAATCATAAACACATCCCCACAACCTTTCTCAAGAACCCATTTGAAAATATCAAAATCAAACCCTAGGTTTACCCTAAAATCCCTAAATCACTAGATTCTTTCAATGGACAATAACTAAGGTAAAAATCATACCAAAGGTTGAAGAAGTCACTACCTCAAGATTTAGAAGATGGAGAAAGCAAGGTTTGAAGTTTGGTGGAGTCAAAACGAGATTCTCTATGATTAGAACGAAGCTTTAGATGAGCTCTACGTTTTTCTCCAAAGAGCTATGGTGGAGAAATCAATGGGTGAGGGTGTATTTGAGGTTTGAAGCAAGAACTATAGAGAGAGAGAGTGAAGAACTAGGGTTTTGAAATGTTTTAGAGAGAGAGCAAATGAAAAATGATTCAAAAATCCCTTTTCCCGAACTGATATACACGCAAAGCGCTCGAGCGACCAAAATACCGCTCGAGCGTCAAACACAATAAGTGACACTGCTCGAGCGACCAAAAACAAAACTCAAGCGTACAATGACCCTCTCCTAGAAGCTTAGACCTGTAAAAGATTTCTCGAACACAAGAAATACTGCTCGAACGAAGATACTATACTTCCAGAAGTTTTGCAGACTGTAAAAGACCGCACGAGCGAACAAGAAGAAAACTAGATAGCAACTCTTTGAAAAACTAACCCCCAACCTGTTCCAAACACAACAATAACTCCTAAACAACCAAACTCAACTATCAACAAGATGAAAATAAAATGAACAATAGTTAAGGATATGCATTCCCGGATTCAAAAGTAAAAAATGGGTTGGGTCTAAATTGGAATCGTTATAGTCCACTTAGAGGTGAACGCTTGGCCTTGGGCTGACCCCATTCTCAACCCACTTCAGAGTGACAACTTCAGAGTTGGCCATCGGTCTAAGCCCAATAGAGTAGCTTGGCCCGACTTAGACCTTGCCTTAGCTAGTTTGGCCCTCTTCAATCATTTATGGAGTTAGAATGCGGTTATGTGTTTCTTATTCATGCATATGGGAAAAAAATGTTGTTCATGGTGTTTTGATTGGAGAAGAAGAAAAGAATTGAATGGCTTAATCCTAATTCATTACTAGCCTCGTACATATATATATATGCTGAATTGAAGAGATTACAATTTAGTAAGGTAGAGTAAAATAAAATCAAATTGAAGGAAAATAGCCTAATATCACGTAATACATAATTTATGGAATCCTAATTTATTTGCATATTCCAACAGGATCATGCATCATCACACTACAAATTTTTGTATCAAACTTGAATTCTATGATTGTTACTGAGACAGGATTAAAAAATAAGAGAAATTGATTATTTTGTTTTGATGTTGGCCTCGGGAAGCCAAAATTCTCCTCTCATTTTATCCTAAGATAGTAGTTTTCACAGTTGAGAATGTGTCCTTTTCTAGAGCTTACGACAACAGCTTGCTTGCCAAGATCCAATGGAGCATGACATCATATGCCTTACCCATTTAAAGGGGAGGAACTTTTTGTTCAGGAAAATAATCTTGTATATGAAGAGGTGCTTGAATTATATAGAAACAAGCAGGGTTTGAAGTAAAAATTTGTAGAAGGTCCTCAAGAGGATGACTAGTGTCGTGTCTGGTCTGTAGGAAAACTGCGATCCTTGGAATATTGTCGGAGAAGCAATATTATGTATCTTACATAAAGTGAGATATATTTTTTTTTAGAACATTGTCTGTAGTTCTGATTCAAGGGTGTGCTTAATGCATGGATCTTATTGGTGGAGTAGAAAGTCAATGACTAATTTAGCTTTGGATCTTGTGATGGTTCCATAATCCGTGGCATGTCATATCAAATTGAAAACTGTTGCAGGCTGTTGGGTTGAGTCCTTTATTCTGCATTGTAACTAGCACAGAGTCGCTGGTCTACTTCTTGGACTGTTGAATAGCCTTAGGCCTGAGAAACTACCCTTTTTACTGTCCTTTCATTGTTTTCATGTTTGCCTCGCTTGTATCTAGTTGTTGGCAATACTCTGTGAAAAACCCACTAGCTTTTTTGTACTTGGACAGTTCTTTCATAGTGTAGATCATGTGATTTGAAACATAATTCATTTCTGCTCTAAAAAAGTGAAACTAAATTTGCTGATCTCAGAATTTAATTCTTTTTCTTCATTTCATTTTATTTTATTTATTAATTATAAGAAACCTTGTATCTACTTTTTGCATAGCAGTGGCAAAAACATGATCCGAGTCTTGATAAGGAGTTAGGTTTGAGGCAGAAAAGTGCAATTGACAGGATATGTTAGAAAGTAGTGTTGTAATCTGACATGCTTAGTTCATATCAGACATGCTTCTTGGAAATGAAGAAACTTGTGCATTTAAAATGCTTATATTATGTATCATCTTCAGATATTTATTTGAATCAAAACTGGTCTTACACTTGGAAGTACCTTATCACATTCAAACAAATCATTTGATCATTGTTAACTATACGGTTCTCTCCATTTTATTTCACCACACTGGATAAATGCATAATCATTGCTGTTTTATATAGATGGTGACCCGTATTCAGTTACCATGTCCTTAAAAATTTTTCATCCGATACACATCTAATTCTTATTGCTATTTAGTTTGTCAATGGTTTATTTGAAGAATTTGCTTTTGACAACTGAAGGTTATAATTTATTTCAATGATTTATCAGTACATAATGCTGCTTATATTTCCTGCTTTCCTGTTACTGGCCACATCTGCCAAAAATGGAATTGGTATTGTTTTGGCCCTGGGATCTCTTTAGGCATATGACCTTACTCACTAGATATATAATTCTGATTCATAACAAATTCAAGCATTTTTTTAAGCCACCTTGATTGCATGTGGTGCAAATTATGCCATCAACCATACTTGAATAATCTTGGTTGCTACTTATATGATTTTTATACATGTGACAAGATGGTCGAACTCCAAGAATGAAATTATGTTTTCTTTATTTGTACACATAATTATGATTGAGCATAACACATTTATCTTTCATGTGACAGTTGCAACCATAGTTGGAACTGTAGTGGCTTTCCTGTTGGTGCCCATGAGATCACTTGGTCAAGATAATTGGAAAATAGCTTCTGCACTAATGGGTAGTTATATTGGTGGAGTTAATTTCTTGTAAATGTTGTGTTTTATTGTCTTGGCCTAAGTTCTGTAACAAATGCAAGGAATTGAAGTGGATGCATCTACTGACATTGCACGTCAGCAATATAAATATTATACTACTGTAGTATCCATGATGCTGTTGATATCTTTTTTGTTTTTTTAGGTGGTAATGCTGTTGATATCTTTTGGCTATTCGCTAATGGATTATCCTATTGAGTAGCTCCTTTATAAGGTATGTCCTATTTTATAATGGGTAATGTGGATTACATTGCCAGTTTGGATGCTTAGTATGTGGATTACCACTAAGTTGCTATGGATATTCAATGGGAAAGGAAGGTGTGGACAGTGCAACATTATGGATTTTTCTGGAATTAAACTTTAAAGAACCTTGAGCTTTCTATCATTATTTGGTTTTTGGTTGGAATTTTTGTTGTCAATAGCTGTCTTAGTCATGCCTGAAATGAAAGTACCAAATTATATTAGTTTTCTGTAGTCTATTCCATAGTGGGTCAATATGGGAAACTGACGCAGCGTAGAATGTGAACAACAACAAAATCGTGCAGCAAAGAAAGCTTGCCTCTTCTACAATCTGTTAAATCCGAAGATTACCAGAATTATAGGAAAAATAAGAGAATTCTCTCAACAAAGTGTATATATTATAAAAAAGTTTTTTTTTTCCTTTAGGCTTACAATTCATATTTATAATACAATGAAGTCCTAATAAAACTAGGAAATACATGGAAAACGACAATACTTGCTAATCAAGTCTAAATCAAAGAAATTACAAAAAATGGAAAGATTTGAGTCAAGCTCAAATCTGGAAACTATAATAAAATTCTGAAAAAAAAAAAAAAAAACTAGTCTCAATTGGATTTGTCTAGAGTGAATTATAGACAAATCAATTATTTTCAAAAATGGGAAAATTGTGAATTGAAGGTCTAACATTGGAATTTTACTGAAATCCATTGTAGGCCATGGCAAGGCGATGGGTATTGATTGCCCCATCATTTTCCATGTCTTGATTGAATTCCATGCCATTCCGAGCACATGCCATCTTGCTTCTACTAGTACTTTTTGCCTTTGCCTTGTTTGTTCATGAGTTCTAAAAACTCTATGGCCAAACACTCTACATCAGAAATGAAAGCGGAAACAATATGAAAAATGGAAGCGTAAAGCGTGGTCCAAAAATAATATGGGAAATGTAAAATGTTAGACGATATAAATTAAATAGGATATTTGTAAGAAAATTTATTAATAACCTTAAAAGTAGTATTAGTATTAGAATGCTTTCATAATCACAATATCTATAGAAACTCATTAGAACAATTATATGTAGCTCTTGAAAAGAATATTTGAGAGCATGTAAAAATAACAAAAATTACAAGAAACACATTTTTAGGGAGTTTCCTTAACATTTTGCAAGTTTCTCCTAAAATTTCTTAGACATCTCGAAAATTTTCATTGAAGTTTCTCCTAAAATCTCATGAGTTCCTTTGTTTAACAAATATGTTTGGCTAAGAAGTAGTGACACTGCAAGATAGGTGCCGTGTTTGTATCCGATGACATGGCAGGGACGTGCGTGCATGTGTCCAACACACTAAGTGGTGTGTTTTTAATAATTATTTTGCTTGTAAGACATGTTGGAGACACTTCATGGACACACTTTAGGACACATTTGTAGGTTGTTGTATTTTTTATTTTTTTATCTTTTTATTTTTTTAAGAAAGCTAATTTGAGGTCAAAGAAAAATATATAAAAATAAAGAGGGAAAAATTAGAAAAAAGAAAATAAAAATACAACCACATATACATTGATATTGTCATATTTATGTATCCTAAATTTATATTCATTTACATAGTAAATAAAAATATGTAAAAAAATATTTTTTTTTGTATTCCCCCTATGTCCATGTCCTAATTTTTTTAAAAATCATTGTGTCCTGTGTCTGTCTTTGTGTCCACACTGCTTAGATGTTGAATGAGAGAAGTGGAGGGGGGGGGTTGGTTTTTTTTTTTCCAAATCACATACATCGTTCTCTCTTTCCAAATCACCTATGTGTTCAATGCTCAATTCCATATTGATTTTTTTTGGGTGGATAGGGGAATGATTCTTACTCGAGCTAAAAAAAAACTTTTGGTTTGTGCAATTCTAAACTTTTTCTCATGCCTTTGCTGATGAGAGAAAGGTTCCAACATGAACTTCAGATTGATTTGGCTTGGCCAAGCTCCAATGTTTGGAGTGAAGATCATGGTGTTAAATACAAAACTATAGCATTTTTTTTTTTTCTTTTGAGGAAGTCATGGGGTTCTATATGCGTGGATTATTCACAGAATTCATGTTAATTATGTACGGTAACATCATGGAATTAGCCAATAACTAATGTTTCTATCTTTGAGGCATTCTTGCAAATCACATTTTTGCTGCACTGGGTGAGTGTGTTAGTCTTTCCTTTTGATACAATATCTGGGACAGATGTCTTTGGTATGGATTCTTTAACTTCCTAGAAGTATGATACGTTGCATGTGTTAGTGCCTCTTTTCTATATCTTGTCTTGGTACTCCTTCAATACCATTGGGTATTTTCTCTCAAAATGTGTAAGTTTTCTCATTTCCAGCAGCTGACCCAGTTTTTGCTTCTGATTTATTGTAGCCGTCAATTACATCGCAATTTCAGAGGCTCTTGGTCTCTCTCCATCAGTTTTGGCTGCAGGTGTAGCTGCTGATAATGTTATTTGTGCTCTATACTTTGTGTTGTTGTTTGCATTAGCCTCAAAAATACCTTCTGAGGCTCCAGCATCAACCGATGGTAAGTAGTACTTAAGCTCGATAAAAATGTGTGCCAGTAAGATGAAATCTAATGGCTCTGTTCCTTCCTTGTTCTTTGGATGACTTGTACCTATTTGAAAACCGATCAAGCACTTTTCACCTTGAAATAAAATAATTCAATGATTATAAATTCTTTGCTGTCAGGTGCACTATGATTATTTGGAGAGCTTTGTAGTGTTGATATCTAAATAAGAACCCATGGTTTCGTCTATTTTATTTTCTTGTAAATGTGGAAGTCATTTCATTTCCTCTATAGAAATTGTGTACATCACTGCTTATAGTTGTTAGATCAATAATGTTAACAGATGAACAATACATTTAAATATGCATAGTTTATCATCGTTGATATTTGACCTTTCTCAGACCTGAATTACAGATGCTGCTACAGATATGGAGTCTGATTCTGGAAACAAGCTCCCTGTGCTACAAACTGCTGCAGCGCTTGCAGTGTCCTTTTCTATCTGCAAAACTGCCTCTTGGCTCACCAAATTATCTGGAATTAAAGGAGGTGATCTTCCGGGAATAACAGCAATTGTTGTCATTTTAGCAACTGTACTTCCAACACATTTTGGCTATCTTGCTCCTGCTGGTGATGCTATTGCTGTAGTCTTGATGCAGGTAATTGTGATGGATGTAGTTTAGTTGATTTGCATCACCTTGAAGAAATGACATTTGCTTTTAAATTTAGTTTTTACCTCAATATATCCAGTGTTAAAACCTACCATCACCTACTCCACCTACCACCACCTACTACACACCTACCACTACCACCTACTACCACCTACTCCACTACATCTCCTATATAAGGAGCCCCTCACCATTTGTAATATATAATATACATCAATTAATATTACATCAATTTTAACATGGTATCAGAGCAGGTTTAGAACCTAATATTTTCGCTTCCCCGGCGGGCGGCAACCTCACCTTAGCTGCCCGCTGGACCTCAACCTAGTCTGCTAAAATTTTCTACACATACCTTGAAATTTCCTTTCTTCAACCTGCTAAGTGCACAAAACACAGACAGCACACATAGACACATACAATTCTCTCTAAAATCAGGAATGATCGCAGGAACCCAGCAAGAAACGAAGCTCCGTCTCTGATCAGACGTCACAGAATAAATCAATCATGGGTCCATACGATGCATCCATGAGCAGCAGTGGAAGCAACTCATCATCATCATCCGCCGGCGAAGCACCGGATCAGATTGCCGGATCTGGGTACAGGGTCCGGTCATCGGAGCTCCGACACGTGGCCCAGCGGCTCGAACGCCTCGAGAATGTCATGGTCAACGCACCAGCAGAGGTCTCTACCAGCTCTCTGTTTCTTCTTCTCTTCATCGTTTCACTTGTTGCTTCCAATCGGCGGCCTCTCTCTCTCTGTCGGCCCTGCATCGTAATGGAGGCGGCTGTTGTAACTCTAACGAATGTTGGTGCTGCTGCTAATCAGGACAAGGACCAATCTCATTCCGATGTCAAGCTCTTCAACAGATGGGTCTTTGACGACATTCAGATCAGTGACATGTCTGTAACGGATTACATTGCTGTGAATCCTGTAAAGCACGCAACTTATGTGCCTCACACAGCTGGAAGGTACTCAGTCAAGGGTTTCATGATCACTGTATCTGCAAAACCCACTTGCTTTGCTTTTTCTCATCAGCTTCCCACGTGATCCCACTAACCAATGCACTTTAAACTCTCTCTCCACTCAAGCACACCCACCATTTTGCCAACTTACTATTATTATTATTATTATTATACAAAACAAAACAACCCCACACCAACAGTCCACTTTTCACATCTTTATTTTTATCAAACCCCTACCTTTAATTTTTATTTTATTTTCTGTTTCTCCTTTCCATCATCGCTTGTTCCAACTTTCCACCCTCACATATTTTTTTTTTATTTTATTTATTTTTGTTTTTGGGGAAAGGAAATAAAAGAAAGAGTTGAAATATCAGAAGGCGTGTGAATCGGTGAGCTAATAAATGGTAGGGGGATATAATATAGTATAAAAAAATAAAAAAAAAATATGTGAGGGTGGAAAGTTGGAACAAGCGATGATGGAAAGGAGAAACAGAAAATAAAATAAAAATTAAAGGTAGGGGTTTGATAAAAATAAAGATGTGAAAAGTGGACTGTTAGTGTGGGGTTGTTTTGTTTTGTATAATAATAATAATAATAATAATAATAATAGAAAGTTGGCAAAATGGTGGGTGTGCTTGAGTGGAGAGAGAGTTTAAAGTGCATTGGTTAGTGGGATCACGTGGGAAGCTGATGAGAAAAAGCAAAGCAAGTGGGTTTTGCAGATACAGTGATCATGAAACCCTTGACTGAGTACCTTCCAGCTGTGTGAGGCACATAAGTTGCGTGCTTTACAGGATTCACAGCAATGTAATCCGTTACAGACATGTCACTGATCTGAATGTCGTCAAAGACCCATCTGTTGAAGAGCTTGACATCGGAATGAGATTGGTCCTTGTCCTGATTAGCAGCAGCACCAACATTCGTTAGAGTTACAACAGCCGCCTCCATTACGATGCAGGGCCGACAGAGAGAGAGAGGCCGCCGATTGGAAGCAACAAGTGAAACGATGAAGAGAAGAAGAAACAGAGAGCTGGTAGAGACCTCTGCTGGTGCGTTGACCATGACATTCTCGAGGCGTTCGAGCCGCTGGGCCACGTGTCGGAGCTCCGATGACCGGACCCTGTACCCGGCTCCGGCAAGCAGTCCGTCAATCTGATCCGGTGCTTCGCCGGCGGATGATGATGATGAGTTGCTTCCACTGCTGCTCATGGATGCATCGTAGGGACCCATGATTGATTTATTCTGTGACGTCTGATCAGAGACGGAGCTTCGTTTCTTGCTGGGTTCCTGCGATCATTCCTGATTTTAGAGAGAATTGTATGTGTCTATGTGTGCTGTCTGTGTTTTGTGCACTCAGCAGGTTGAAGAAAGGAAATTTCAAGGTATGTGTAGAAAATTTTAGCAGACTAGGTTGAGGTCCGGCGGGCAGCTAAGGTGAGGTTGCCGCCCGCCGGAGAAGCGAAAATATTAGGTTCTAAACCTGCTCTGATACCATGTAAAAATAATACCTTATCCACACACACACACAACATCAGGAAAAAATCAAAACAAAATCACATTCAAGGGCAAACAAATAAACTCACCCCTCCAAATCAAACAAATACAACATAACTAAAAATAAAAAGGACCAATTGTTCTAAAAGAAAACTTATAAGATTAAATGGAACAACATTTCCCCATATGGGATTTATGAATAGTTTTTATTAACCTTTCCTTCTTGTTTGATTCATTGTCTTTATTTTCTAATTTGGCTGTTTTGACCAGCAATTTGCAAGTTTTTCATTGTTCACTGTCGCAACAGGTGTTCTTTGCTGTAGTGGGAGCCAGTGGGAGCATAGGGAATGTCATCACTATAGCACCTAATATTTTCATGTTTGCTTTTGTTCAAGTGACTGTCCATCTTGCTGTAATCCTGGGATTGGGAAAACTATTCCGCTTCGACCTAAAGCTCTTACTTTTGGCTTCAAATGCTAACATTGGAGGGCCTACAACAGCATGCGGAATGGCAACAGCCAAGGGATGGGGCACTTTGGTTGTTCCTGGAATCCTAGCTGGCATATTTGGAATTTCAATTGCAATCAAATGGACAACAAACCAAATGTTTTTTTTTGTTAAAAACACATTCACCGCAGTGACTTTTGCCACAACCATGCACAATTATTTTGGAATTCAATTGAGGCATTTAGTTATGTCTTTGAATTTCAATTAAATGCTTTAGATTGAATCTTGTGTTAGTACTGCATCTTTTTTCTTTTTCTTTTTTTTTTTTGGGTCAAATTATCTTGGGGGACTTGGAATTTGCTACTTGTCTAACTCTTAGGGCTGGTTGTTGCAACTTCAATAAGCTGATTATAGCTTATTTTAATTTAGGAGTTTGTACTAGACTGTTTGGTGAAATTTTTGCTTATAGCTTATGAGGTGGATATAACTTAAATAAGCTAAAAAAACTGATTATTTAGAAGTTAGGGGAGGGGTGTTTTTAGCTTTTGTTTTTGAGTTATCAGCTTTTAACTTAAAAAAACTCTACCAAACAAGGCCTTAATGTAGTTTTATGCTTTGGCCTGTGTGCTCTACATAAGACCTGAATCGTTGTATGGGATGAATTTCCACTAACAATTTTAAATATCAGTTGATTCATTTTCAATAGAGATTAACAAAATAATTTACACCAGCATTCACAGGATGCATTTTGAGCCTGACTACTATATTTATAAAGGAATTGAATTTTTAACACAGTTCAAAGATTTTCTTCAATAATCAACAATGTCAACAGATGGCTTGACAACATAATAATCAACAATGTCAACAGATGGCTTGACAACATATTGGCAGAACATCAAGAATTTTTACATCTATGTAAACATGTTATCTGTCATTAAAAATTAGTTTTAATTTTTGAATTTCTATAAGAATGATTAGAAGATATTCTATATTAGCTATCTATTTTATATACTGACTGGTGAACAGCTTTGGCATTATTTCTTACATCTTCATGCATTTTATATACAGTATGTTGCCACCAATTCTTGTTTTTTTTATTTTTTTTATTTTTTTTTTGTTGGGGGGGGGGGGGTGTTGTGTGTGTGTTATTTGAATTAGTCATAAAATAAAAACAAAAAATTTAAATATTTACAAGGGGCATGCCCCATGCCCTAAATTAAACAAAGATGCCTCTCCACAGATGGGAGGCAAACAAAACAGAAGAAAAGAACAACAGATAGCCTGATTAAACTATCACGGGATAACAAACATATATATGGAGAAAACCAAAGTTAGGTAGGTTCTAGGCGGTACAAAACTTGTTCAGGGGCCCCATTCCTTTTGCGAATGGGGGCCATGAACAATAACCTAGGCGGTACAAAACTTGTTCAGGGGCCCCATTCCTTTTGCGAATGGGGGCCATGAACAATCCAAAAGCCTAGAACCCCTGTAGATCTGGTAGCACAAATTGACCCCTTGCACAGCCCAAAAGGGTAGGCATGAATGAAGGCAAGGTACCATAGTATACCAGCATAACAAAACTATAACCTCCAATTATGTTACAGTCTCTTCAACAAATTTTGAAGTTTCCTTTCTAGTTTTAACATTTTTATTAAAAATTTCACATCTTTGTCATGCATTTATGACTCTGCCTGCCCAAGAGCATTGCCACAGTTCTGAGGGTTTTCTCATCATAAGCCAATAGAACTTTCCTTCTTGTAGATCTACAGATTTAATTTAACCTTTCCGTCTTGGTTGATTCATTGTCTTTATTTTCTAATTTGGCTGTTTTGACCAGCAATTTGCAAGTTTTTCATTGTTCACTGTCGCAACAGGTATTCTTTGCTGTAGTGGGAGCCAGTGGGAGCATTGGGAATGTCATCACTATAGCACCTAATATTTTCATGTTTGCTTTTGTTCAAGTGACTGTCCATCTTGCTGTAATCCTGGGATTGGGAAAACTATTCCGCTTCGACCTAAAGCTCTTACTTTTGGCTTCAAATGCTAACATTGGAGGGCCTACAACAGCATGCGGAATGGCAACAGCCAAGGGATGGGGCACTTTGGTTGTTCCTGGAATCCTAGCTGGCATATTTGGAATTTCAATTGCAACCTTCTTTGGCATCGGTTTTGGGATGTTGGTTCTTAGACAACTCTAATAAACTCTGAAGTTCTGTCTAACATAGTCAAATCTGTAATTTCAATTGTTTTGCAGTTAAAGCTGCAAGATATTGAGATAATTTCAACTTGCATATGTAACCACTTTGATCTGTTTAAGTAGAGGTTGATATGCATTTCAGTAGCATATATTGAACCCACTATATAGAAGGAAAAATTAGTTGGTGATGGGAAAATTATTGTATGTATGCTCCTGGTGCAGAGGGCTCATGCGATCATGTTGCTCTTGGCGCCGTTAGAGCATCCCCATAGAGCACAAAATAAATTGTCATATGTTGATGACTGTATAGAGAACTAGAAAAATTCCAGTTAGTAGAAACTGTAACTATCAACACTTGAGAGTTTCTTCTTTAGGTAATAACTAACAAGTTTGGCAGCCTTGTTTCAAATATTTGGAATAATAAAACTAAATCATCATGGGCTTATAAAAAAGTGATTCATCATCACAGCAGTCAATTGGTTTCTTAAACTGTGTTTTTCAATCCCTATGGCCTTAGCTGCATCTGATGTTTTTGAAGAGTGAGCCTTATTCAAAATCACTTTCGCACAAAAAAAAGTTATGTAGGTGAAAGGGTCCCCTTGCCATGTGAAAAAACTTTTTCTCACCAAGGGTTGGGATCATGGCCCTTGAAAGGACAAAATGACTAACAAACATTAGAGTTGTATAATGACTCTTCCTGATTATAAGATGCAACATTTGAATGAAAATATTTTGACTTTCTGTAATGGGAAATTGTGTTTCAATATGAAGAATTTAAAGTTTGCAATAATATGGAGGTATAATTGAGTCTGTATTCTAATGTAAATAAAGATTGTGGTCTTTCTTGCTTGCATGCGAACACGTATTTTACTTACACCTTCATGTTTTTATAATCAGTTTAAATTTTTTCTACTGAAATATAATTTCTCTTTCTATAAATATCTTAAAGAGCTACGAACTTAAAAAATGTATTCTACGAATTGCTAAAAAAACGATGTGCATAATATAGATTCAAATTTAATGTGGTGAGCCGTATCAAATGAATCTGATGCACATTTTATTTTGTGGACATCTTTTTAGTTTTTTCCTCCCCAAATGCATTGCATTTATGATAAATATCAAAATCACTATATTTAAAGTGAACTTTTATATGGAAAGGGGAGTTGGCCGAGTGGTCTAATGTAACTATCTCTTAGGATTATGAGAAGGTTATAGGTTTAAGGTTAGAGTCGATGGAATGACTGCTGCTATTTCGTTATAATTTAACTTATTAATCTATTAATATCCAGTCATTTATCAAAAAAAAGAGTAAAAGAATAACTTGGCACTTCACTAATAAAGTATTTTACCTCCCTTGAACTATTATTTAATATCACTTTAATCCTTTTAATAAAAAAAAAAAACCCACTACACTTTATCAAATTAAACTCTTAGTTGGCATTAATGCAAATCCTATGTTAAGAATTCATTACATAAATGGATGAAAATTGGATATATAATTGGGAAAATTATCAGTAAGTCTTATTTTGCTCTTGAAGTTACTATTGAATCCTATCAAGTTTTAATATGGACAACTAATTTCTATTTTCATAAAATGTTCCCAAAAGTCCATTCTTTCATAATAGTGTATCTTGTCTTAGTTTTACCATTCTCATTTAATATGAACAACAATTTTATAAACTATTTAACTTAATTAAAATTAAAAATTATTAATATTATATTAAAAAATCATAAATAACAATTGGATTGAAACAACTATAGTATAAAATGCATCATTTTTTGTTATTTCAAATTATGATTTATTTAAGTTTAAACAATCTAAACTAGACAATTCTATTAAAATTACAAAGAGTTATGAAAAATAATACTATGAAAAATTTATATATTTCTCAATGCATGAAATAGTTGATGAATTTTGTACTTAATTTTTTTCCCATTAAAATTCATTTAATTTGAATAATCAAAAATATTTTTATTAATTTTTTTTATACAAAATAAAGTATTTATAAATCTTTTAGTTCATATTTTAATGAGAAAAATTAAATTAAAATAAACTGCTATGATGAATAATTGAATTTTTTTAATAAAAATTTATAAAATAAAAAATAAAATAGGTACTTATTTATTAATATTGAAATTTGATATAACTCAATAATAATTTTCAAAACAAAATAGAACGTGTTGGAAATTTTTTCGTTGTAATTTATGATATTTTTAATACAATGTCATAATTTTTACAATTAAAAGATATAGTTTTACTTAGATTAAAAATATTAATGAAATTATTGGTCATATTAAATGAGGGGTAAAATTGAGATAAGATACATCATTATGGAGAAATAAACTTTTTGGGAACAATTTTAAAAATTTGATAGAATTTCTTTATAATCATAAGAGTAGAATTGGAATTATTCGTAATTTTTTTCTATATAATTTGCAACAATGACAAAGAAATAGCATTCTTTCCTTTATTTTCTTTCCTTGTTTTCTTTTTTTTTTTAAAATAGAAGCCACGACAACCGAAATATAGGCAACCATGGTTGTTGACATGAGAAGGAGAAAGATAAATAAGTTTATTTAAGTATTTTGCAATATTTGAGATATCATATATAAGTTATATGTCAATTTTTCATCAATTTAAGTAATGGATCTTTAATGAAAAATTTACACTCATATCAATTGGTAATTTTAAATGATAAATTGTAATATATTTTAATTGAAAGAAGTAAAGTAATACGAAGTGATAGTTAAAGAATATGCAATTATAATTTGCATTATAAATGGGCACATAAAGAAGGTTTTCGGAGAGCTTATCAAAAAGGTTTGAGTAAATCAAATAAAAGATGAATTCAATTACGGTGAGAGGGTATCGTACCAATATTACAACCACTAAAGTGAAGATGGGCAGCTTGTAGTTGTGACCAGGACAATGTTCCTTCTCGTGTTCACTATAGGAAATTGTACTTTTTTCGTCTAACAATTTACTTGGTAAAAGTCCGTTTTTAGTCGATAAAATTTTTTTACAACTATTTTTTTGGTCATCACTTTAGTCACCAATATAGGGTCGGAAAATTAATTAGCGACTAAATTTTTTTAAGTCGGGAAAAAGGTTTTATCTGGAGTGAAATATTCAGTGACAGTCTCACGACCCTAACCTGCTCTTATGATCAACAATCATGGGTTAGTACTATCTCTTTATGTGGAGTGAAATATTCCGTGACAATGTTACGACCCTAACCCACTCTTAGAGGTTAGAGCGATAATCGACCAGTAATCATAGATTACCTATGGTATAACTTGATAGAATACAAAATATATAATATAGTGGGGCCTAAAATAGAAGCAAACGAACAATAATAAGTCCATTGAACAGTGTATAAATGACATATAATTAAAACTCACACAAACTTTCATAACATAACTTATAATATTGACATTAAATACAACATTGTACAAAATTACATTCACAAGTTCATATACATGACTTGACAAGCACTTCTTCGAAGGCTTCACAAAAGGGGTAAACTTTGAAGCAAACTTATGGCTGATATACTCACCTACGTACATAAGGGGAAGTGAGTGAGCTAAAACCCAATGAGTAATGTTAGTATAAAGAGGTTAATGAATGAGGTCTAAACCATCAAAATATTCTTGTTAAAATCATGAACTTTTCAAAGATGTATATATATCAATGTATACACAACTTTAATCAAGCATTCATAACTAAAGAGAGTATGTGGTGCATCCATTATCATTAAGCAGGACGACCATATAGGTCCAGAATAAACAGAATGACTATAAAGGTTCAGAACAACCACTAGGGTCGATAACAAAATGATCACATTGGATCGATAACAAAATGGAGATCTCCCATAGCCAAGGCATATAAATGTCCCCCAATGGCTAGAACTCACTAAGGATGCCATAATAGATTCAAAAAGGAAATCTCATTCATTTATTTCAAAATACAAGTTCAAAATCTAAATCGGAACATTTCAGAAATCATAATATGAAAATATCTTTACAAAAACATTACTCAAGAGACTTAGTTCAATAGCTACTCCTCAGTGGTTCGACCTACATAACATACACAAATATCGATAACACACAATGTTCAATTAAATTCTTACATTAATTTCTTAACCAATCAGCTTATGTTGATTCCTAACTTAATTGATCCTTAATGAGACTTAATTTATGTCTAAAGATGCTCAGAAACAAATAAGAAAAAAAATATAAACAAAACGATGCATTTCAAAAAATTTCCAAAACAGAGAAGTCTGCTCAAGTGGTTTCTTAGCGGTGAATTAGTATTTTTGTTTGCAAAACAATTTTTTAGTTGCGACAAAAGTTCACTCGAGCGGTAACAAGACCACTCGAGCGATCTACGAACTCTGGTTTCGAAATTCTGTTTCAAAAAACTTCCAAACGAAATTTCAAATAAGGAAGATACATGGCTTGTCCAAAATTATGAAAATACTTTAGAAAACATATAAACATGATCAAAACTTCATTCAATTTGTCAAACACATGAGCCAAAACTCCATTCATGCTATGTTTTCAAAATCTTCTTCCTTTGATGTTCAAAACATGAAATTAAAAGCATAACTTCATGAATTTCTAAAAATTTACAAGTTAAAAACTTCCATGTATGTGGACATGAGTTCAATTTCATGCAAGACAACAAAAATTCAAACTCAAAATGAATAAATTTCTAAATTAATTCTATAGGTTGTGATCCTAACTCAAATTCATCATCTTCATCTTATATTTATGCATTTATGAGCAAATCAACTCCATTTCTTACTTAATTCATGATATGTGAAGTATTTTAAGGTTCAATTCCTTACCTAAAGTCTTGAATTCTTGAGCTACTTGATGAAATTAAGCTTCTCTTCTTCTTCTACTCTATTTCTTCTTCAATTTCTATCATCCTCTCTTAATCTTCAACTCCTTGAACTTTCCCTCTCTAACTCTAATGTTTCTCTCCAGCAAAAGATTGCTAAAAATGAACTCAACACTCTCAACATAACATATATATAAAGAATTGAATTAGAATTAGCTGAAGGTTTTAATTTTGTTTAAACTTAATTAATCACTCCTTAATCCTACTTAATTATAATTAGCACTTAATTTAATTAATCCAA